GGTGACCTGATTGTGGCCTTGCAGGGCCTGAAGGAGCTCCAAGAAAGATGGAGAGAGACTATTTGCAAGGGGCTGGAGTGACAGGACAGGGAGGAATGGCTTCAAACTGAGAGGAGGTTTAGAACAGATATTGGGAAGAAATCCTTCCCCGTGAGGGTGGGGAGGCCCTGGCCCAGGTTGCCCAGAGAAGCTGTGGCTGCCCCTGGATCCCTGGAAGTGTCCAAGGCCAGGCTGGATGGGGCTTGGAGCAACCTGGGCTAGTGGAAGGTGTCCCTGCCCATGGCAGGGAATGGGACTGGATGATCTTTGAGGTCCCTTCAAATCCAAACCATTCTATGATTCTGTGCATTGCATTTCCTTCAGCACCTTCAGGTCTTTCCTAATCTCATGGAAATCTCTGTAATGAATTTTAACCCTTTCAATTATTTTTTCTATCAAGAACTTTGTCAATAAGAATAAAGTGAATGGTTTGATTTACAGTTTAGATAAATACTCTAATACACACAGGAAAAATGCAAAATATAGGAGACTATTTACAAGCAATTACAGAAAACAAAATACAGAAAGTACAAAATCACAGAAGAGTTTATCAGTGTTTAACAAGAACTAGTTTTCAGTTAAACAGTTTGGCTTCTTCTCCCAGGGAACAGGGGACAGGACAAGGGGAAATGTTCTCAGGCTGTGCCAGGGGAGGCACAGGTTGGACATCAGGAGGAATTTCTTCCTGGAAAGGGTGGTCAGGCCTTGGCAGGGGCTGCCCAGGGAGGTTTGGAGTGCCCAGCCCTGGAGGTGTCCCAGGAAGGCCTGGCCGTGGCACTCAGTGCTCTGGACTGGGGGACAAGGTGGGGATGGGGCACAGACTGGACTTAATGGTCTTGGAGAGCTTTGCCAACCTTCATTTTTCTATCATCCTGTGATTCTATAGTGTCTCTTATTTGAGTGTTCCAGTTTGGAAACTATATACATCTGTTTCCATACAGGCAAGTCAATGAAAGTTTAGCTGCAGGGGACATTCAAGTAATTTCCTCACTAGGAAAATAAATTTAAAGTTAATTTTTTACTTTTAAAATCAAATTCTTCCACGTGCACAGCAGTGTGGGGTTTTTTACTATTTTTAATTAATGCAGTTTTAATCCTAAAGGTGTCTTATACTGAATGACTAGATACAGCTCAAATAATGCTTGATGAGATGGGTTTAGTTCTGCATTATGTGTTAGATTTTGTCACTGTTAAGTGGATAGTTTCAGTTGCATTGGTTTTATAGTATTTACTTTCAAATCAAGACACATTTGAAGTAATGAATCCATGGACAACTTAGGAAGGGTTCCTACCAGCTTTTCACTAACACTTTAACTGAAGGCTTTGCTCTTATTGATGCAGGTTTTCAAAAACCTACAATAAAACCAGAAAAAAAAAACTTGGGTGGGTGAAGGTGGAAAGCCAACTGGTACAGGCAGAAAACATTGAGTTCTAGCAGCTTAATACTGAAATTAAAAGCAGTGTTTGGGCTGGAGGACCGAGGTGGCAGCAGAACACAGAGCACCATGAACCAGTTAGGAGCAGTTCTGGCCTCCAGCCAGCAGAGCTGAACACTTCACCAAATTGTTTCGGCTTGGAGCCTGCCCTAAAAATAAATCCCCTATTACAAGAGGTACATTTTTGTGCTTTTCCTTCCCATTTTTATTGTGTTTGTTGCGAAACACTCCTAAGGTTTGGCTGTGCTGTTATCCCGGTGTTACAGAGGGAGACTGAGTCCTGAGAGACCACGAACGCAGCCGTGGGATTTCTCTGGGAGCTGTGCTCCTCAGGGCTTCCAAGGGCAGACAAGGCTCAGTTTTACACAGATATTTAGGTGTGTAAAAGCACAAAAAGGTATTCAGCAGTTCTCAGGTGACACATTTGTTCAGGACATCCTGAATTTATTTTGTGTAAGGCCCATTTCTTGTTTTATGGCTGGTTTTATATAACAATCCCAATGTCTTTATATCCCATGTCTGATTTTTAACTCATGAATTTGGGATTCACACCAGCAGAGAAAAAAGAAATAGGGCTTGAAGTGTCACTGTGGCTTTTCCCCATCCACAGTGCACGTGTCCTTAAGAACTGAGGGTCACACTCCACCTGAGAAGCCCAAAGCACGTTTTCAGTAAAATAACTGACTATTGGATTGAGGATAAGCTGCAGGTGCAGCTCTGATGTGTAGGACTAACTCTTCTGCCAGGGATTTTAGTTTTATTGTCTCTTTTCCTTGTTTAAATTTACCTAGAGCCAACATAAAATCTGAAAATTCCCTGAGCAAGCCTTTTATCATCATGGGATTTCCTGCTCGGCTTTATTGATTGAGAAAGTTTGGACAAGTATTTCAGCTTATCCAGCCCAAACTTTTGAACTCACCTGTTGTTGCTGCAAGGAGACAAGTCTATAATATTCAGTAGTGAGGTGAATCTGAAGAAACAACATGTGAACTTACGCATTTTGAACTAACAAATTGACTTTTCCTTCTCATGTGGGAACAGCTCAGGAGCACGTGGTGACCCACTAAGAAGAGAGGCTTGTTTAAGATAGTTGGCTTGTTAAAAAGGAGTAAGGACTGAGCACAAGCAGCTGACTTTTGCTAACCCATGTCCTGCTCTTCCTCTGCTGGCCACACACTCTTCTCACTCTTGTAGGAGTTCCCAAACCTCCAGATGAGGTGCCTCAGATCAGAAGTCACCCTGCAGAAGGGAACAGGGACGTGGCACTTTCTGTCTGATTTACCAGCTGATGGAATTCACTGAGGGGGTTGGACAAGCCCCAGGGGTGGTTCAAAGGTGGGGAAGGGGCAGCACAGTAAAAGCAGAGAGAAAATGGGGGAAGAGAAATTTTAAGACCTCTTTGTGTGGCCAAGAGCAGGGCAGTCAACTCAGTCAACTTTTGGAGCGTCTCTGTGTCTTCCTGGAGAGAGGCTTTGTCATCATCCTCTGCTGCCAAGAGGCCTCATCAGCTGTGGGCTCTCTGATGAATGAATGGAAACCTGTTTAAAGAAAGGTATTTACATTTTCAGGTCAAGCATGCAAAGCTAGGAAATGCCCCTGCAACTCAAATTCTACCCTCTGCTCTGTCTTCCACGCTGGGATAGGAGTCCACAGAGCATTAACAAAACAGCAGAGGGATTAAAACCTGAACTGTTGTGTGTTTGCACAGCGTGAAATGCACCTTTCAGGGCCTATCCTCATCTTACACTCTCCCAAAGACCCCTCATGCTACACTTGATTTCACAGTCTCTGCGTTGCCACAAGTGCTGATTTGGGGAATGTGTGGGACAAACTCATTAGAATGCTCATATTCAGGTGTGATTTGGGCATTTTGCCAAACCTTTCCAGAAGAAAGAAGAGGAAAGCTTTAATTGAAAATTTTTAATAATAATAATAATAATAATCCCTAATTCAGTTGCAACCAAACATAATTTAATTGGATAGTGAAAGAGAATTCCTTGTGTAGGTGCTTTATCCCAGGACATTGCAGAGGGCCCTGCAAACAGAAGAGCTCATCTGAAAGCAGAAAAAGACTTTCACAAGCATTTTTATATATAAATATACACATGTATTTATATATAGCTGTTGCCATCTCCCTCACAGTAAATATAGAGAAAGATATATGAGTGCAACAGGTTCATGGATTTGGGGGACAATCCAAGTCGTGTGAAATTCTTCAGTCTCTGGCAAAGTGAAAAAAAAAATAATCACATCTAAACTGTTGCCCTTTTAAATGTAAAACAGCTGCTGCCTGCTGGCACTGCCTGAATTCCTACATACTCCACCACTTGACAGCAGAATTCCAGCCTCTAGTTTCTTATGGTTGCACATCATGCCATTATTAATATCTGTTAATGGCATTTAAATCCCCTGTTGACCGGGGATTTTGCTTTTGCTGAGGTGCTCTCTGGGAATTTGAGGCAGGCAGAGTTTTGGTGGTAAAACACTCACCCCGTGGTTGTTTCCCCCAGGGAAAAGGGAAGGAAGTTAAGCTGGCATCAGTTGTGGGATGTCCCTGCAGGTGATGCTGAGCTACAGGTGTATTGAGATATATAATTCCTGGGGAAAGTACCCCTGGGAATAGGGACACAGAAGAATGATATCCAAGGGTTATTACATTAACCTCTCTGGTGTGGCAGTGACTTCCCTTTCACTGCTGCTGTTTGCATCCAGTTCTGGGAATTCCATCTAAATCCCAGGACGGTACCAACAGCACAGGCTTTACATCCACACTCCTCCTCCCTCTTTTCAAAGCACCCGATTTCCCCTGTTAAAATCAGCACTGTCTGTGCGTTCTGCAACGAGGAAACAACAGCAAAAAGGCTCTGGAGCAAACCCAGGACAAGTCATCAAAGTGTTGTGGCTAAACTCTGGTGGTCAGGGCTTTCAGCTGCTGCAGCTCAGTGTGTTACAACCATAGCATGAATTTATCTCAGATGAGTTTCAGGCTCCCTTTCGCCAACAGGAAAGGGGTGATCAATAACGTTGACTTTTCATCCCTCTTCCTCTTTCCTTAGCATTATGCAACCACTCATAGCCTTATTTATTTAGGAAATAAGGCCTTTAGGGGACTTTGATCAGCCTGGCTGAAGTTTCTTCAAAGATTAACTGACTTCTTTAGAAGTTACTCAGTTCCTCTTAGGCAGGTATTTGCTCACCACGTAACTGGGTGTCGAGTGCTCTGTAGTTATAAAGTTTGCTGGGCTCAGCTGTGGATTTCCTTAACACTCTCTGCTGACATCACTGAGTCTCCTCTCAGACTCTTTTATTTTTTTTCCCCTCTCTTTCTCCCTCCCTCCTTCTCCTCCCTCCCTCTCTCCAGTTTCTTTATTCAGGTAATTCCAACTCAGGCTTATTGTAACTTGTTTTTTGACTGACAGCGAGGGAAGGGAGACTCTCTGAGGAGTTTGATTTCTGTTGTTTTTTTGGCTTTTTTTTTTTTTTAAAACCTGCACACATGCTTTATTGAAAAACCATCCAACCTCTTATAAAAAAGGACTGTTTGACTTGACATGACGATAACATCTAGTAAGGAACCTGAACACTGCTCTTTTACAGGTAAGAGGTATTTGCCAAAAATGCATAAATGCTTAGCAGTGCTTTGGAAGCTGCGAGGAACTGGAAGCTGAGGAGTAGGTGCTTTCCCTGTTTTTCTTTTATTTTACTGGTTTAAGGATTTAAAAACTGTGTGTAAAAGCAAAAATGTTTATAAGACTGTGCCTCCTCGTGAACTTTGGGGTACAGGCAGTTGAGCGACAGAGCAAAAGCTGTCACGGTTTGGTCTTTTCACTGATGCAAGTTACTGAATGGGAGGTTTGTGGCTGGTGTTTTTATATATATTTATATGTTTATACGTCTTTGTAACTGTTTTCCTGCCAGAAATTTTTCCTTGTAGGAGCCTACAGTGATTTATGGGGTGTTAGAAGAACAACTTTCAGGCAGCTCTTGCTCTTTTTCGAGTTCAGAAACCGGTTTTCATTGGCGTAGTGGGAAAACTTGCCTAGGACTTTGTCCTGCCCCTGTTACCTGTCTGTATGAAAAAAGAGAGTGTAAGTTTTCCGTGGCAGGTATAAAGAATGTGAACATGCCTGGATTGGAGAACTTTTGCCTGTGTCTTCACACCACTTGTTTACGGCAGGTTTGGCTTTTCCTCGTTAATCAAAATCTAAGATTGAGGTGAAAATCCTCCTCTCCTTCAGTGCAGCTCGTTTTTGCCTACCTTTTTGTTTTAACTTTGGGATCCTGCTGTAATGAGATTTACAGATAAGTTCTTTTTTTGATCCATGGCGTGCTAGTTGTAAAAAAAGAACAAAGCTGGTTTTCCTTTGTGAACAAGGAGTATCTACATTACTTTTTAACTGACCTTGATCCCTGCCTTGCCTTTGGCCATATTGCATTTAGAGGTATTTTAGGGTCTTTCTGATCACTGTGTACCTGTCTGCCAAGTCTGTGTTTTCCTGTGATATCGTTACCTGTGATATATTTTATTTGATTTTTAATTGAAGGGGAAAGGAGGCAATTTGCTGCTAAAGAAATGTCTTCTTTATTTCCTTGCTTGTAAAATGTCACTATGCTCTCTGCACTCTCTAATAACCAACTTATGGGAGGGAGGAAGCAAGGCTGGAATGTAACATAGTGCTGATTGTACAGTACAAACTGGCATTGCTTTTCAAAAGCAGAGTGTAGACCAGACCAAAAACTTCCCCAAGAATTCCATCCCAGCAAATGAGGCATGGCCTGGAGACAAAAACAGCAGCAGATGACTTGGGCTTCAGTCTTCCAACACACATACAATAATTCAGCCCTGTTACTTTTTATAGAATTTCAAATGAAAACAAATAGTTCTTTTTTACCCTGGCTCCCCCATGCAACAAAGCAAACAAGCCATCAGCCCTGATGGCAGCTGAATTTTTTATTTGTCCAGATTTCATTTAAGAAGTCTGGAATATTATTCCTGCCTCTTCTGTTTCCCTCTCCTAAGACACAGAGTTCCTAGAGACAGGCTGTATTCTTTGGGAACAGGTAGAGACCAAAGCTGTGAGGGACCAAGAAAAACAGGAGTGTAACTTCTTTGCAGGCTGAACCTCAGAACGTTTTGAAACAAATTTTGCTTTACTGTGCTTCCAGGAAAAACAAAGCAGACTTCAGGATGATGTCTTTTTGGTTTATTTGTTTGTTCGTTTTAATGGAGCAAAAGGTTTTTACCTTATAGGCAATAGTGGGTATGAAAATTAGTAAAAATTATTGGTTGAGGTATCAAACAGTTAAAATCAACCTTGTCAGTCCAAATGGATTCCCTACATGGGAATATTTGAAAGATATCTTCCTGCTGAGCTGTCCTTCACCCCTTGGGATGAGAGAGCATTCATGAATGACTTGAATGAGTTACTACAGACTCGAGAATCATTTTAGTCTTCAGTGTGTCTGTTAATATGGCAAATAGCTTGGTAAAAATCATGTGCATGGTCCTGGAGTAAACAGGGCACTGCTGGAAAAAGTAGCTCCCTGATTTCTGTGTTGGCTGTGCACGAATTGAAATGCCCGTTCATTCCATACCTATCTATCCTGAAAGGTGTGAAATGCTCATGGAGAACAGCCAAAACCACTGGACACAGAACTAACCAGAGCATCCTAAGCATGAGATTGTCTTTGTGTGACTGGCACACTCCGAGGCTCACAGCAATCCGAGGTCTTGGTCAGGCAGGAAGGGAGCAAACAAAGACCTGAATGCTCCAGGTATCATCATCCTTCACTGGAAAAATATTGCTTGGACATAAAGAGGGGAAGGGTATTTTTGGGATAACACATCTGCAGGTATTTACACCCATTGGGGTGTTTGGCAAATTTCCTTTTCCAGCAGAGCCTTTTGCAAACCTTCACCTGCCCCTGGGGAAAGGCTGAGAGTGAACTGCTGGGGCAGGGGTTGGACCCAGCAGGTGTCTCAGGGAGGTACCATCACGTTGTGCAGATTCCTTCTGGCTGCAGAACACCCTTGGAGATGTTTTCCTTTCTCCGGGGGAGCCTTACAAGCTTTGAGACACCAAGGCTGGAGAATCCTTACTGAGGAGACCCGGTTGACTTCCCAGGTGTTGGTGGTGAGCACCTGATCATTTCTGATCTGTTCCAAGCCTATTCCCTCCCTGCTCTGTGTCTGGTGAGGTATGAGTCACAGAGTCATAGAATCAGCCAGGTTGGAAAAGACCTCTGAGATCATCAAGTCCAACCCTTGATCCAACCCTGCCATGGTTCCCAGCCCATGGCACTGATGCCACATCCAGTCTCACCTTAAACATCTCCAGGGACGGAGAATCCACCACTTCCCTGGGCAGCCCATTCCAATGGCTGATTACTCTCTCTGTAAAGAATTTTTTCCTAATATCCAACCTAAACCTCCTGGCAGAGCTTAAGACCCAGCCCTCTTGTCTTGCTGATGGTTGCCTGGGAGAAGAGACCAACCCCCCCCCCCGGCTCCCCCCTCCTGTCAGGGAGTTGCAGAGAGTGAGGAGGTCTCCCCTGAGCCTCCTCTTCTCCAGGCTGAGCCCCCCCAGCTCCCTCAGCCTCTCCTCACAGCACTTGTGCTCCAGTCCCTTCCCCAGCCTCGTTGCTCTCCTCTGGACCTGCTCTAGGACCTCAATGTCCTTCCTGAGCTGAGGGCCCAGAGCTGGACACTCCTGCCTTTCTGTGGCCTTGTGATTAAGAAATTCCTTCTCCCCGCTTGGTTCAAATTTGACATTGGGGGTATGTGCATTTTAGCTGGTGTTTAAGGTGGAGGGGAAGCCTGAAGCTTGTGTTTGGTACCTTTTGAAACCACACTTGACTCCTTTCTGGTTTGCTTTCCTCATGGGGGTTTTGTCAGCTGGATTTGTCTGTGCTTAGAGAGCCATCTTCTCATTGTAACTCAAAAGAGTCAAATAAATTTCGACTGGAACAGTAGTATGCCCTGATTAGATTAATTTAATCTCCATTGCTTTGACTCAGGTGTTTCACTGTAGGTTAGGTCACAGTTTGCAGGACACCTCTCTGGTTTTACATTATACACTTTTCCTTATCTACAGTTAACACTTTTGCATTGAGACTATATGATAAAAATGTTTATCTGTGTAATATATTCCCATAATTTGTAGTAAAGCAATATATAACAGTGCACTGACTTACATGGCTTAAAAGGTATATTGTCAGCATGAACTCATGAAGAGAAAAGGATAAAAACACATTAGGATCAAAATTTCCCCTTTTTCTCACTGGAATTACAGTCTAAAAAAAAATATAATAAAATTGATATAAATAAATAAAATAAATTAAAATAATCAGAATAAGTAGAATAAAATAGCCAGAATAAGTAGAATAAAATGGATGTTCACAACATTTTGACCAGTAAATAAATTCTTCCTGCTTAAATGATTTTAATTTCACACAATATCTTCCAAGGAAAATATCAACCAGAAAAATGCTCCTGAGACTTTCTGACCTTGTCTCTAAAGTTCCCTCAAAGTGCTCCCTGCTTTCTGCTCAGCAATAATCCCACTCCAGGCTGCCTGTCCTTACTCCTGGGAACTTCCACTCCAGCTGTCCTTTTCTGAACCCCTTCCAGCCTCTCACCCAAGCAAACAGACCTCAGTTTCCTGCTGCCTTATCCAGAAATAATGTTTCCTGAAAGTTTCCTTCCTCAAACACTTCGACACCAAACCTATCAACAGTCCCCTCTCTCCGCCATAAACAGCCAAACCACAGCCCCGTGCTGCAGGAATGGATAAAAGGATGGTGGGAAGACAAGAAAAGATGTGTTTTCTGGGATTTTCAGAGCAAGGATGTGCTTCATTCACTCAAAGGTACATCAGGATAGGGAGGGAGGTGTTTGAGCGATGCAAAGCACTGCAGTTCTCATAAAAATAGGATGTAAAGAGCCAAAACTTTTTAAGGCGACGTTTTATTTTATGCCCATGTTGAGTTTGGTTTACTGGCAGACTTGGTGGCCTCTGTGGCACGTGGTGTTTGGTCTCTTGACTGTTCCCAGCTTAGTGCTTCTGAATCAAACCTCCTTTTTCCTTAAGATTAGGCAAAAAGTCACTTGTTACAAGGGACTCTATTTATGAGTTATGAATTAACGCGGTGGACGTCAGCCCAGGGGTGCTGAATGTCCATTCCCTGCTGTGGAATGTGCTGAAAAGGGGCTGAAAGCTCCTGTCAAGGCACAAAAGGGTCAGAGTGGAATGGCCTGCGGTGCAAAATGCTTCCATGGGACCAGAGGTGACTGAGCACAGCAAGGGCAGGTGTGGGAGAGCCAACAGGGCTGTTTTAATCTGTGTATAATGGACAAACAGAAGGGTCCAGGTCTGGTTCTCGTTCACACTGTGGCCCTTCCACAGTGCTGGGGGAGATGTGGAGGCCAGATGTGGCTTTTCAGCATCACATCACGGGCTCCAGGTCGTGGTCTGTTTGTTTTCATCTGTGGGAACAGAATTCAACAAGAAAAACCCATAGAATCATGCCTGTACTTCAGTTAGTTTTAGTCTAAAGCTCTGTCATACTGCTAGAAATCTTAATAATAGATTTTTTTT